AAAACTTTGCTAACATATGGCAGTTGACTTATAACTGCTATATTTTATCAATAAAATAATGACAAAGAATGGTCTCTTTCAACAAGATAAGAAGACAAAATTGTAAACTAACATATGCAATTATTCATGTCAAAGATTTTAATTTAGTTTTACTGTTCATATTTGTCAATCTTCCCCAAACAAAAAAGATTTCGAATAAACAAGACTAACTTAGATAATGAAGGTTTCTCAACCAAAATTTTCATGCAATCTTTTTCACTATTACTTTTAAATATTATTTTTTCAACTTTCAATATATTTGACACTGTCCATTATGTAATGTACTTCTTGTGATTGATTAATTAAAAATAATTATTCGAAAAATTAGAATAGATCATAAAAATATAAAAGACAAACTATAACTTATATAAGTAAGAAAATTGAAATCGATAATATTTTTCCTCATAATGTCCATAAAGTATAGAAATATTTTTTGTTTTTCAAAATAACCTATAAAAAAGAATAAATTGTGTAGTAGTATGAGAACGGTTGAATTGTTATTTTGCAGCCTAAACTTCTAATATACTAAATTTCCTTTCTTAAAATAAGATTAGAGCAATTTTATGAATTTGTATAAAATTAAAACCCATACTATTTATTTTCATGTCGAATGGGATACCACTTGAGCAACATGATTTAATTTAGATCATATGATTATCTATAAATTAATTAAAAATATATGGATAATCATGATATGCCTATATTCTTTGAAAATTAATTAAATTTTAACAATAAACAATCTCGCTATATTATCATTACTCATCTATCTATTTATTTGTATTATTCACACAAAGCAATTTCTTATAAAAAAAATCATTAAAATTTCACTGTAACATGTTTCATTGGAATTTTATCAATTTGTTTACAGTAAAAGTGACTCCAAATCAAATTAAACAATTTTGCACTATATATAATATTGTGTGCAGTTAACTATTTTGAAAATTATTGCCAGTGATACAAAATATAACATATTCAATGTATTTATGATTTAACTTATGATAATTAGTGTTTCTTTTTTTAAAAAAGATATATCTAGGTTGAAAAAGTTCGTTTTTATTTATTAGTATTGTAATAACTAAACAAGAGGTAAGAATGATGTTTTACGTATAAAAAAAAAAGATAATACTACACAACAAGAAAACTTATAGCTCACATTACATCCAAAAGTAAAAAAAAAATAACAATAATAATAAAATTAATAAATGTCCTATATCAATTGAAGCTAGCGAATGATAAATTAAAACATACTTAAGATGCATATTTATAAATTTTTTTTTTTTTGTATTAGAAATCAGTATGTTAGTCTTAATTCTTTTTATATTTTTTAAATTTTTTATTTTGAAATATTAATATTTTTTATTTATGTGATATATAATATCACATTATTTCTTTCCCACCATGTTTGATTTGGTCAATGTATTGTAAATAAAATAAAAATATATTTATTTTTATTGAACCAAGTTAAAATAATAAATAGACCTAAAAGTATCTTATAAAGTAAATTATAGACACATGTCAACTCACTTAAAATAATTAATTATAAAATAATAATAGATAAACTTGTGGTATATTTTTCTTACATATATTTTAATTATCCATACCAAGAAAAAAGGGAAAATAGATGTAAACGTACGACTATCACCTATGTTAACTATGTGAATTAAAAAAAACAATGGATCGTATGTTAAACAATTATTCAATTACTGCTTGAAATGAAACACCATAAGTGGTGTAAAATATACTTTGTGAATATAAAAATGAGTTAGTTACTTAATATTTAGCAAATAATGGAAAAAAGATCTAAAGAATTTTAATATTATAAACAATATAAAAGTACAC